ACTTTCAGCAGCAGATACCCCGAACTAACAAAGTTATAAGCATTTTAAGTTTTTGCATATATTTTGCATTTTCGGCCCTAGCTTCATAGGCCCTCCCGCTTCCCCCCATCACCGTGGTCTGGTGGCCTAGTGGTGTAGTCGGCGGCGTCTGGGGAATCTGAGTGGGGTTCGAACCCGCTCAATTAGCACAGTCCTACCTAAGCTAGGCCAATCCTATGCACATCTTTGCAAAGCAATGAAGAATTATTGAAAACCGAAAAATTCCCGCTCCCCCCTTGACCCGCGCTACACCGCTCTACACAAGTGTTCAGATTCTTAAGATGGTTTTGCTGACATGCTGCCGTAAGTGCCATAACTTAAATCTAAATATACACGCGGCAACCTACGAGATACTGAAGCAGTTGCAGACAGCCACCACAGAAACTCGTTCTAATAAGCAAGAAAATTCACTAACTTCAAATTGTGTCTTTTGCCAGAGCGGAAATTCTGTTCGATTAACCGACCATGTCATTCCTCGTCCGGAAGATTGACAGCAGACAGAAAAAATTTTTCATTCGTTATTCATCTTCTACAGCTTTTCTCATTTTCCTGAAAACAGTCGTTATTGCCATTTTTAATACGTTGATCGTACCTTTAAACTTTCATCTCGGTTTTTGCCTCTATATGAAGACTTGTTAATCTATTTGATCGATGCTGAACAATTCAACACCGATATGGCGCCTCGTTGAAGAAGGCGATGATGGTCTCGGAATAATCACCCAAGTTGGGGCCGGAGCCTGGAATCGAAAAAACCATCGAGTAAAATTTGAGGTCAAAATCGAAAATCGAATTTGTTCGAAGGCGAAAGATACGCAAAGAGACAGAGGGGGAGACAGCGAGAGAGAGAGAGGGGAGAGAGAGGGGGAGAGAGAAGAGAGAGAGAGAGAGAGAGAGAGAGAGAGAGAGAGAGGGGGAGAGAGCGAGGGATGGAGAGAGAGTGAGTAAGAGAGAGCGAGTAAGAGATTGTGAGAGAGATATAGTGACAGAGTGAGAGAGAGAGTGCGAGAGAATGAGAGAGAGCGAGAGAGGGAGAGAGAGAGAAAGCTAGAGCTGTCGGAATCGATTGCTGCGGTTTGCGGACGGACGATCCGATCTGGCCGGGCCTCAGGGATATGATGCCGGTAAGATGCCGCCGCACATTCGAACTCTGCGGACCGCCCAGCGACCAGGCGAAACCGTGCTGGATCGACCTGCTCCAAAACGCCGGGGCGACCAATCGGCGGTTGCGTGGGGAATTGGGGGTGGATGGCATTTCTCGGAAAAACAGTGGCAAGAAAGGTATGAGTAATTGCGCGGAGAGAAGCCGCCGCGCGATGTTGTGTGGGGGCATATATTGATTTGACGCGGTGGACCCCCGAGGGGAAAATCATCCATTTTTCTTTCGCGGGGAAGGTATTATTTTCATGCTTCATATATGAATCATTGGAGAGAGAGCGAGAGAGAGAGGAGCGAGGGAGACAGAGAGGGGTAAGAGGGATAGAGAAAGAGAGAGAAAGAGAGACAGAGAGAGAGAGAGAGAGAGAGAGAGAGAAAGAGAGAGACGTTTTTGTTTGGTTCGTTTATGAATTGGATGATCTTGCTGAATCCCCTGAATACGATTAGCGAAGCGGCCTGGGGGGGGGGGGAGCGTGGGAAAATCGTCCCGTCCTAGACGCACATTTTCGAACGGAGCGTGTTGTTGGCATTACTAATCGGAGGGCAAGGGTAGCCAGCGTTGCTGGAGTGGAAATCGAACGCGAAATTTCGAGAAATGATAATTTGCTTTTCAAACAAATCACAAATAACCATAAATCACATTGGTCTTTACAAATCTGTCGACTTCCGGGAAAAACCCTAACGGCTTTGGTCTTTTTGTGCAATTTCGAGGACTCGACCACCGTTTAATCCAAATTGAAGAATTTCTTACCAAAGTTGGAAGGTAGGTTAGAATAAGACAAATAAAAGGCTTTCCTTAAGTAATAAAAAAAGCATCAAAAAGCATCGGGTTATCGAGACACAAGTCTGATTCAAATATCGAGTATCAAATCGAGTTGGCTTGAAAGGCTTCAAAATGAAATTCAATGAATTGCCATTAATGATCCTAAGTTTTTACCCAGAAAGGATATAAAATATTTTTTACGGACTATCCAGTATCGCCATTTTATCCCCCAGGGAAAATCCAATGTTTCCCGGCGCATTGGGGAGGCGGGGATGTGGCTATGGTATGTGGGGGAACTGGGGGCGGAGCGAGCCCTTATCGGCAGCCGGCAACCAATACAAAGAGAAGGCGCGTAAGTTGCAAAAATAAAGGGAAAAGTAGGCGATCTTGAATTCAAAATGGTTGGGGCACTCATCCTGAAAGAGAAAGGAAGAGCGGGAGAGAAATCGAGAGAAACGGAGAGAGAGAGAGAGAGAGAGCAAGAAATAACAGCTGCCACAGAAAAATTAAAGTCCTCCCTCTTTTCTCTATCTCACTCTCTCTCACTTTCTTTTACACTCACTTTCTCTCTCTCTCTCGGGCGCTCTCTCTCTCTCTCTTTCTCTCTCTCTCTTTCTCTCTCTCCCTAGGGCGCTCTCTCTCTCTCTTCCTCCTGATTCCTAACCATTGCAAATCCGATCGCCTTCCTTTCCGTCCCCGGATTAGTGGCCCCGGTTCCCAGAACTACCGTAACCCTCTGCTTCCTGCCTGCAAAGCGTAAGGCTGCCATTTCTCGCGGTCCATGCGATTTTTTCGTTTTGATTTTGCCAGCCAGACTAAGGCACAAGAAATTTAATTTAGACGATTCTTACAACACAACTCTAGATTCTCTCTTTCTCTCTCTCACTCTCTCTCTCAGTTTCTTTCACACTCACTTTCTCTCTTTGCCTAAGTTTCGCCGTCAAACGAATTCCAGTTTCGAGCAATATTACTTCTTGCCATTGACCTGAGCTAATTTTATTTACTTCATGGTCTTTTTCATTTCCAGGCTCCGGCCCCAACTTGGGTGATTATTCTGAGACCATCAGCGCCTTCTTCAACGAGGCGCCATATCGGTGTTGAATCGTTCAACCATCGATCTAATATTTTAACAATTCTTCATATAGAGGCAAAAAACGAGATGAGAGTTTACAGGTCAGGTCAACTTTGAAATTGCGGAATACCAATTTGTGTTTTAGGAAAATGAAAACCTATGCAAAAGACCATTAACCAATGGGAAACTTTGATGTCTGCCGTCGCGCCCATCAATCAGAGGGACGGGGGAATGATACGCGGAAAATAGGGTTTGGCTGTGCATACGTCTATCGCTGAAACATTTCACTTCTCAACCGTTTTGGAGAACAAAAATAAAAAGAATGAAAACATCGTAGGGATTTTCGGTTCAACCTAACATTTCAAAGTCAACATTATCTCTGCTTTTTTTGGCATTCTGTCGATAAAAATTTCGCGTTCGTTTACAATTTACAACCCAATTGAAAACATTAAGGAGCGTCCTGGGCATCCAATTAACGGCCACTTTCGGCCGTTTTTTTGGAGAAATGACGAAATTTAGCTCGTATATAACCACGAAAAACAGCAAAATGTTACAAAATAACTTGTAAAATTGTGAGATAAGATAAAAACAAAGGTTTGAAGATTTTGCAGACTGGCCGTTTCAAGGGCTTTCGAATGGCGTAACTATCATTCCGATCCGATACTTTTGCGTTGAGTTAGAGGGGTCTCTTTTATTGAAGTACCCCGCAGGCCTGGGAAAGTTGCCGGCCCGGGCCGGCCCTAAACCGAAAATTTTGGGCCCCGGCCCGGCCCGGCCCTACCGCCAAAATCTGGGCCCGGGCCGGCGCGGGCCGGCGCGGGCCGGCCCAGGGCCGGCCCTACATTTTGACCTTAACTACAGCCATTCATCAGAGGAGTCCTGACATAAGCTGAGGGTACGTTTTGATGTCTCAGGTCATGCCAAATGGCATTGCAGTGATTTCAGATTGTTTCCGGTAGAAAAAAAGCAAAAAGCAAAAAATTGACCTCGGGCGGGGTCGAACCCGGGTCGTTTTCCTGGTATGCAATTTTGATCAAAAATTTATTTTTTTTTGGTTTAAGCTGTGTAGATAGATAGCGTAATCTCTATGTATGTAAAAATAATAAATATTATCGCTATATAATCGCATTTAAATATATTTCAGATTCGTTCAGGAAGGTCGGGCCGGCCCTGCTTCTCCCAAGGCCGGCCCCGGCCCGGCCCGGCCCTCCAAAACCGCCAAAATTTGGGCCCGGCCCGGCCCTAAAAATTCCCAGGCCTGCCCCGTATATAGGCGACTTCGACCTCCGAAATATGCTACTTCTCACCCTAACAACCGACAGGCGCGATTTTTCACGAACAAACGAATTTTAGAGATTTTAGAGACATTTGCCTTTGGAAAAACCGATCAATTTCCAGTCATCTCGGAGTCAATATGCACCTAATGACGCATCAAACATCCCCCTAACTTCCTCTCTACTTCAGATATTACTGGAATACGGTGTCATTTTTTATAGATATGTATAGTAGAATATCGAAGCCTCCACCCAAAAATACCCGATCTTCGACGTGAATTTCGACGAAAAAATGGCCCCTAATTTTTCTAAAGATTTCTCCGCCCGAAATCTAGCTAATATCAAATACACGGCATTGAAATACTTCGTATTACTTTAGTAGGTATTTATGGACTTATAGAAACCCCCGATATTGCAAAATAAAGTAATTTAGGCGATGTTTACAACATAAGATCGTCCATGTTAAAAAGCGAGAAAAAGTATTATTAACCGGAAGTCGATGGAAATTGATGCAAATTCAGGAATAACCTGAGAATCGCATTTTGGTGCCGATTTGATGTAATGTGGCAAATACAGGAGCGGTGTTTTTGCCCGTTATAAGGTGGGAGAACCAGGATTTGAATGACCACTTCCGCATTTGATGTCCAAATGTTCGCGAAATCTTACTAAAAAACCATTTTCTTCCGAAAACACGGAGATGTCCGCCCGCCTCGATCGCCTCGAGGTTCGTCGAAGTATCGAAATCCGGTAATGGCTTTTTTGCAGAAGGTGTACACCAGGCTGAACGCCCGTCTATTCGGCTTCAGCGAGGCGTCCGAGCTGGTGCATCGGCACGCCGTGTTCTACTCCGGCACGGTGAGTGGGAGGGGTGCAAGGAGAGCGGAGTGGTATCCTTGGCACATTGATATTGTGTTAGCTCGTGGCTTACAAGGCCCGGGTTCGACCCCCGGCCGGGTCACAGCTTTTTGCTTTTCAATCAAAAGTTGAGAGTTGGATGTTCCTTTAATTTATTTTAGACTTTTTTGGTCGAATTTCGCTATTTTTATCGAAAGTGGGCCATTTGGTCGAACAATCTCTATTTCTTGTCATTTTGAGTTTACGCAATTTTGTAGGATTTGCGGAACCCCCTTTTTTAGTGCAAGCCTAAATTTATGTATGGCAGATGTTCTTTTTATGTTCTACATTGTTTGTAGCCATTACTAGGCATAAAAACCTTACAAATTTTAATTCAAAACTAATCTTAGCTCCAAAATGATTTTTTGCGGCCGAAAACGATCAAATTCTCGACTGTTTCCGCACAGTTTTCTCACTTTTGTCGAGAGTTTTTGCACTTTATACATAAAACATAAAAAACATAAAACATAGAAACATAAAACTGACTAAAAACAATGGGCCAGCCGGGACCGACGGGAAACAAAATTGGCTCCCCCCGCGAATCCTAGAGAACCAGTAAGGTGGCTAAGTAGGTAACCAGTTTTTCGCTTAGAAATTGTAAAAAACGGCTCAGAAACACAAATTTGAAAAATAGAATCCGAAGAGAGCCCTCAAAACGCTTTAAAAAGTTTGAGTTTTGATTAGCCCGCGGAATATGATAGCCCTAATTAGCATACGTCAAAATTGCGAAATTCCCCATTCTTCCCAGTTGCACGTTCGCGTGTGATTGGGGGATACGGAAGAATAAAGCTATAAAAATGTCGATTTTCATACAATTTCAGCCTTACATTTTATCCAGAAGGGGGCGAGACAATAGCTTCACGGATCCGAAAGTCAACAACTGAATAATTGTCATTTTAGGCACCGGGTTTCTTCGAATTCGTCAAACGAGGGAGGACCGACGACGATGAGCTGACGCTAATCGACTTGCGGCAGCTGGCGTAGCAGGCCGTAGACGACCTTGAGGCGGCCATAAGGCTCGTAAGCAGCAATCGTTAGTTCCTGGAAAAACTCGTTTAGGCGCAGGAGTACGACCAATTGGAGCTGGAGCTGGAGAAGGACGGGCAGGAAGAGGCGGAGGTGGCGGCGGGGCCAGTGGAGGCGGCGACGGGCGTGAAGAAAGAGGAGGGGAAGAAGGAGGACGACGGCGGGGTCGACGACGAGGAGGATGAGGAAGAGGCGGAGGTGGCGGCGGAGGTGGAGGCGGCGGCGGAGAAGGTGGCGGCGAAGAAGAAAGTGAAGAAGAAGGGCCAGGCGCAGCCGAAAAAAAAGGTAGATAGAATCCTCGTTTCCTGCAAAGATTGATTTGCTTAGAAGGGCAACAAGGCGGTGGCGGAGAAGAAAGAGAAGAAGAAGAACAAGGACGACAAGAAGAAGGACGTGGCGTCGGAGGGCGGCGACACCGGCGCCGAGGACGACGACGAGGAGGAGCAGGACGAGCCAGTGGAGCACGGCGACGACAGCCACGACGATGTGCGGGGGCCGGGCCGTCCGCCGATCTACGATAAGGTCTGTTGCTAAGGCTGTAAAATTAGTCTGATCTCTTTTGGCGAAAGTTTCACGATGCGTCGCTCTTTCGGAAATCCATGTCGAAATGGGAATTTAAATGATCAAACGGAATCAACGAAAGTTTCTTTCTAGACGAAGGGGCAGTGCCCGGAGTGTGCCCGGCGGGACGTGAAGCTGACCAAGGCGCTCGGGGTCTTCGCCTGCGACCGCTGCGTGAGGCGCTTCAGGCGCACTGTCCAGCGTCTGCCCATGAAACGCTGCCTGAACAAGTGCGGGCTGAAAAGTGAGTTAATGCTCTGTTTCAAGCTTTCATTACGTCGAACTTTACCGCTCAACTCAATCTTATTTTCAGCCCATTGCGCCTACCACCGTGTCCTCCGCAAGCTGGCTCTCGGCTACAAGCTTCCGAAGGGCGTCAAGCTGCCGAAATAAATTAGTTTTTGTTCCGAGTTGTGATATAATTTTTTGTGGATGTGTTATTGTTTTCTTGGGATAAATTTGGGCAAAAAATTGTTGAGCGAAGAGCGAGAGAGAGGAAGAGAAAGAGCGAGAGTGAGAGGGAGGGAGGGAGAGAGAGAGAGAGAGAGAGAGAGAGAGAGAGAGAGAAACAGCTAGCGAATGAGTGGGTGAGAGATAGTCAGAGAGAGAGCGAGCGAGAGAGTGAGTGAGAGAGAGAAGGTGATAGAGAAAGAGGGAGGGAGTACCCGAAAATTGACTTTGCTGCGAAAAAGGCAAATTATTTGAGTAAAACCGAAAAGTTTTCGGGGCGAAACGAAATTTTGCGTGCAAGGCGATTACATGTCGTAATGCCTTGTAAGGAACCCATTCTCTCGATCTCAGTGATTCTCTGGTCAATTTTCATAATTAGTCTAGAATGATCGAAACGAGGATTCCACAAATAACGTAATTTTTAAAATCAGGCGTTTTCACCACCAATAAGGGGCAAAAGATATTGCGCTTTCGGATTTTCAGCTCACTGTGCGTATCACAGAATCGCCCGCAAGGTAGCACTCGGCTACAAACTTCCGGCGAGAAATCTGGAAGAGGAGCAGCAACAAGGCAAGAACCCGAAGAAAAACAGAGAAAGGAGTGTGTCGGCAAGCGGGGAAGACTACCAGCAACACGAGGAGCAGGAGGAGGATGAGGATGAGGAGCAGGACGAGGATCAGCATCAGGACGAGGATCAGGATCAGGATGAGGAGGGGCACGGCGACGACCGCCACGACGATGTGCGGGGGCCGGGCCGCCCGCCGATCCACAAGGAGGTTTGTTGCTGAGGCTGTAAAATTAGTCTAATCTCTTTTGGCGAAATTTTTACGACGCGTCCCTCTTACGCTCTACGCAAATGAAATCCGTCGCCGCTAACCATCAACTATAATAAAAAAGTAGAGATGTCCGTCTGTCTGTCTGTGTGTCTGAAGCCGAATTCAACTCGAAGGGGAAAGGAGCTAGAGCTTAGGTCTCTTCGGATTCGGATAGAGCGTGGTCAGAAACCCCTACACTGATAAAAAAATTATAAAAAAGTTTTAGTTTAAATTATTAAAATTAACTTTGAAAGTGACGCCTTAATAAAACGTGTGGGGCCCCTCTCCCGGGAGGCCACGCCCCCTTTCCCTTCGCCCCTCTTCGCCAGGCCCTTTACCGCGCCTAAATAGCTTTTTTAAAGCTACTTTAATACTTTTTAATACGTTTTAATTATGTTAATTCGTTATTTAAATCATTTAAAGTATCTGAAGCCATCGGGAAGGTATTTAGGTAGTTTTTGAAGGGGGTTTCAGCTATGGGGGGTGTGGGCAGGCCCGTAGGAGGGGGCCCAGGGCCCCCCCCCGAAATCGGTCGAGGTCCGAAAAATTCATAAGGGGGGACCCTTATGATTTTTAGTTACAAAAATTTTTCTGCCTGCGGCGCTGTTTATTACTGTTTTTCAAACAGTTTTTACTTATATGAAGCCCATTTTTTCGAAATTTTTTTCCTGCGGCGCTGGATTTTCATTGGTGAATCAATTGTTCACAAAAATTTTCGCCTGCGGCGCGTTTTCTGCCGTGTTTTCACACGATTTTGAGTGTAGCGAACGCTTTTTTTGCCTGCCGCGCTATTATTGACGCGATTTTCGGATGTGTTAAAAGTGGCGACCGGGGGGTCGCCAAAATTTTTGGGCCCCCCCCCCCGAAATTTCGGTTCCGCTACGGGCCTGGGTGTGGGTATTGATGAAGATAGAGATGTAATGTGGTGGTGTAGAATATGGAGGGTAGCCCGGAGGCCAGTCGATTACAGTCGCGAAGCGGCTGTAATCGGCTGGTGTTGATATGAGAATTTACAGGGTGTCCCAGAAATCACCCGGGCATTTTTTAAAGTGATTTTTCTCTAGCTTTTTTTGCTTCCTTGGCACGCAGGGAAACTTTTCCTACCATTTGAATCGTTCTGAAAATAGTGCGGCTGAAAAAAACGTGGAGAAGGAGCCCTGGGCTTTTGTAAGGACGCCAAGAAAATTACTGAGGTTTCTGATCCCTTGCAAACGCTTGCTCGACAATCCTCACATAAACAAGGACCTGAGACAGGCCAGAATCGAAATTGCCATTCCTCTCTCTCTCGAGGTTGACGGTGCGCGGAAGCGGGGCCGCCCGCCGGTCTACAAGAAGGTCTGTTGCTGAGCCTGTAAAGTTAGTCGGATCTCGTTAGTGAAATACTAGACATAACGGTGCCGCCGGACTAGACATAACGGTGCAGCTAAATCCTATGAGCAAAAATTTCATTTCCAGAAGAAGAATAAGCGGTGCCCGGACTGTCGTGCGGTGCCCGTCACCCTGTACAACAGCGTCGGGCCGTTCGTCTGCGCCGGCTGTATTGACAGATTCAGGTCCGTTTTTGAAAGCATAACTACGGACTCCTGTTTAGGCGGGCAGTGCAGCGGATGCTCCCAGAGGCCTGCCGCAAGACGACCTGCGGCATCCGGAGTGAGCTTTGACGATTTTATTTAAGGATAAAATTGCGTCGAACCTTCACGCGAGAATCAAGCTCCTCTTTTTCAGCGCCCTGCGCCTATCACAGAGTCGTCCGGAAGCTGGCCAAGGGCTACCGACTCCCCGACGGCGTCGTGCTCCCCACCTAATGTTTTTGTTTCCCATTTTATTGTGATGTGATGTGTCATTGTGGTGTTTAGGGTATAAACCGGGAAAATATTTTCGAGCGGAAGCAGACGGTTGATCGAGAGCCAACCCATGTCCAGAGAGAGAGAGTGAGAGAGAGAGAGAGAGAGAGAGAGAGCCAGAGGACAAAAGAGTGTGTTACCGCTTAAAATACGGTCAAATAAAATAGTCATGGCAAAAACCAGCAAGGTCTGGCCGAACACTATTTGAATTCTATAATTTTTAATATGTATTTTTTAAGCAAATTTTGCCCAGGGTCAATAATTGGGATTTAGGGCCCCCGATTGGATCCCCTATAAAAATATTTGGGACCTTCCGGCTGCATGGGGGTGGGGGAGAGTTAAAGGGGCTCGGAAGCCAAAATTCGCGTGTTCGGGGATTGAACCTACTGGTCAAAACACTAATGGATTGCCGCCGAAAAGTGCCCGAAAAATTATTTCGTTGCGAAAAACCGCAAAATATTTGAGAAAAACCGAAATGTTTACGGGGCGAAAACGCTTTTTTAGCGCGTGGCGATTACATGTCGTAATGCCTTGTAAGGCACCCAATCCCTCAGGCTCGGTGATTCTCTGGTCAATTTTGATAATTAAAAGGTCTCAACGGATCAAAAGTCGGTGAGAATTACAGAAATATTGTCAGAATTTTGAACGCACGCGTTTTCCCTTCCAAACAGGGAGTAGAGAACATGCGTCGCGTTGCAGCCGCATCTGGCTATTTGCCAGGAATCAACGCGGGTGGGGCGTGGACCAGATTTCAGAGCTCCTTTAAGGAAAGTGCTACGCCTGTGCGTATGCTTACACGTAACCATTTTAGCAAGGCTAATTTTGCAGGGCGCATTGCATACATGGTGCATTAGCATTCACCAGGGGCGCAAAATGATCATTTCTACGCATCCCGGCGTCAAATTTGGCTGTCCGGCCGATCCTTCCCCTACCTGGGCAACGGAAGCATGGGTGCTGATGAGTACGCAGGAGACGAGCACCAGCGACCCGTCAGTGGCAAGGTTGGCTCCTCTGCTGAAATGAAGCTTGGTGCTACGCGGGGGTGGGGGGAGGCAGTTTTACGCAGGGACTGGCTGTTGGGCCCGAACTTACATTTTTGCGTTATTTTTGGTACAAACAAAACTCTCAGTATATTTTACCGCGCTCTATCGAATGGCACGCTAAAAAAATTTGAAAAAATATCGAAAATTTCGAAAACTTGCTTACATTTTATGGCCTCAATGGAACTAGGGTTCAATACTTGTTTTTGTCATAACTATCTTGGATTCAATTATTTTGCACTGAAATTAAAACTCTGGAGTATTTTTGGATGCTCAAACGAATTGCGTCTTTAAAACGTCGAGAAAAATAGCGAAAATATCGAGAGCCAGTCGCTCACCTCTGTTCTGAGTGATGATTCTGTTTAGAAGGCCAAATCTCGGCTGCCCTCGCTCGAACAGCTGCTCGCCCTTCCCGTCGACATTTGGCTGCTTCTCCTCGACGCCTTCACCCCCCTCGACATCGTCAATTTGGCACATGCCGACCGTCGTCTCAAGGTCGGTGAACAGAGTCTAAAGGGATGCATCTCCTCAGCCCACCGGTCTCAAAATTTTGCGTATTTTCGCTATTTTTCGATATTTAGGTATGCCGTTCGTTAGAGGATTGAATGATAGGTACTGGACTGTTAGCGGGGGTGGGGGGAAACACTTTTCCCCGTCCTTGCGGTTAACTGAAAAAGCGGTATTCTAAAAAAGCGGCCTTATAAAAACGTGGATTTATGAAAAAGCGGCATTTTGAAAAGGCGGTAATCTAAGAAGCCGGTATTCTGAAAAAGCCGCCTTACAAAAAAAATGGCATTTTGAAAAAACGTCAATCTGAAAAAGCGGTATTCTGAGAGGCGGTACTCGCAACAAACGGCATACTGGAAATACCCCCTTGTTTCCAGGTGCTAATGACCGCTCTCCCGAAGCGATGGGGCCGGCTGATGGGCGAGGCGCGGCAGCTCAAAATCTACTCGTCGGCTAACGTCAAGTGCGGGACGCCTTCCATTTCAGAACGTTCTGATTGTTTAGCAGCTTCCAGCTCACGCGCGCTGCCGGATGCTGGGACGAGAGCATCAACTACATTTTCGCCTATGGCGACACGTATTGGTGCGTGGAGGAAATTCGGTTCATTATGGCTCGCGGGGGGGGACCAATTTAGGTTCACGGTTAGCCTAGTAATAAGTAATCAAATATAAAGCTTTTTACATTGTTTCAGTACGTATAATAAATAGTACCTTCAAAACAAGGTTGAAAATTTTTTCAAAGAGAATTTCGTCATTTCGGGTCGAAAAAATCATCTTTCGACTTAAAATTTAATTTTAATTAAAATTTGTGAAGTTTTTTTATGTTCGGAAACAGTTAAAAACAATGTGGAAATGCAATCGCGATTTATGAAAACATGTGGGCTTGGGTCGAAAAAATTGATTTTCGCCGCAATCCCCAAAGAACCTGAAAAGTAGTGTCCCAGTTCCGGTTCAGGTTCGTTAAGCATCAGAAGGAGAACAAGCTCTTCAACGCGATGTGCCGCTACGTTGAGCCGGACCGGGATCGGAACAAGGCGATCGCCGAAGACCTCTACATTCTTTTGAACAACGCGCGTGTAGACATGGTAATTTTGACTTACCAATAATAGTTTCTAATAAACCAATGTTTCCAATTGCTACCGTAAGATATCTATAACGAAATCTAAACCAATTTTATTACTGTTTTTTTCTATTACCGGGGGAGGGGGTGGTAGAATGTAAAAATGCTGTTTTAATGCAAAGGATTAATTTATAGTATTTAAAATGAAAATTACGAACACTCTCGATCCTACTATATATAAAAAAATAGTGTCTGTGTGTGTGTGTGCATTTGCATGCAACTTCCGTCACCGTGTTCCAGTAGTATCTCAAGAGGGGAAGTACTTAGGGGTATGTTCGATACGTCATTAGGTGCGTAATGGCCTGGAGATGACTGCACACATATCAGATTTCACAAAATATAATGTTTTCGACATTAAAATTAAGTTTTTCATGGAAAATCGGACACCCCAATTTGCTAGGACCAAATAAGCATGCACCGGAAGTCGCTGTAGCCTATATAAAGGGACGGCAAGAGCATTTTTCATTTTTCGTCATCCGGATCCGGGAAAATTATGCAAAGCCAAGAATATCATTGGAGAAGACGGGGCCAGGGTTGAAAAGCCGCGAAGCGGTTTTTCAACCCTGGTTTATGGTTAAAAATGTATGAAAATGACGAAAACGTCAAAAATGTTGCAACTTGTAATCGTTTTTACAAGTTTTTCCAGAAATAAATAAATATATTCGAAAGTATAAAAATGCGGATCTTTCGCATTACCGGGGGGCCGAACTGTTTTGCATTTATTTTGTTTTATTTTTGCATTTTATCATACATGTAAAGCCTAAGCATGAGCCTAGAATCGCCTAGTAAGTTATTAGAAGGCATTTTCATAGTGTTTTTAATATTCTATAACTATATTGCAACTAACCTTGGAAAGATGCTAAAAAAAGTGGAAATTTTGATCAAGAATCGGCTTTTTTTCGGCGAAAAGCGATATTTTTGATATTTCTTTAATTGTAAAGTTTTCACATTTAGGAATAGTAAAAAATCATTTACAACACTCGCCAGAAAAAAAGTTGGCTCCCCCCCCCCGATAACGCGAAAGAACCAGAAATCCTTGTTAGAAGGTGCTAACGATACACAAATTTCAGTATTGCCTCGGCTCCGACTGGAACCTCCCCACCCCTAAGAAATCACCGATGCCGTCGATTCGAGCAGCTACCGTGCTTTTATCGATCAACGGCGACGTGCAGGGCTTTGATGGAGAACTCGGTTGATTCATCCGTCTGATTTTGAGATTTTTCTAGAGCGTCTCGGACCGACTTGCATCGCGTACTACGCCCAGCCGGAGGGTGGCCTCGTCGATTTCCGGAGCCACGTCCGCCACATTGCTGCCATCCCGGTAGGCTGTTTGCCTGCAGAGGCAAGTCGACTTTTCAGTCCCTGCGCTACCTCTGGATAAACGTGGGCGACAAGTTCAAGGAGTTCAGCCGGATCGTCCGCCTCAAAATGCCTCAACTGACAATTCATTGTACGCTCGGTGTCAAGAAAGGTCAGCATCCTTGATTAGGACTATTTTCTCGGCTCTTGCGCATTATCGTGGGGGGAGAGTTTTCAGGGCGAAAGAAAAATTTCGCCTTAGGAACCAATTTTTAGATCTAAACAGCGTAAGTGTTTCTAAACTGTTTTTACTATTCCTAAAAACTCCTTAAAAAATTTTTACAATACAAGAAAAATAGCGATTTTTCGTTCAATGTGGCCGATGACCAAAATCAACCCCTCCACCCGCACCGGCCAGCCCCCCGGCTAAGGAACCAGAACCCCCAAATCCTCCAACCAAGAAAAACCCATTCAGCAGTGATGAAAGACGAGCGTCAGCTGACGCACGGTGCCGAGAAGTGGTTGAAGAGGAACCTCGTCGAGTCGCTGCGCAGCATGATTGAGGTGGGTCATTTAAGCTTAAGCCAAAAACCAAACTGATCCTTATCCTAACGCTATGCAAAGCCCAAGCCGAAGCTAAGTCGAAGCCTAACTCTGAGCTAAGCCTAAGCCTAGGCTTAGACTTAAGCCGAAGCTAAGCCTACGCCTAAGCCGTTTCTTTAGGATTCAGCGGCGCGGAGCATTTTCCCTGGGGAAACCAATCTTATTTTCAGGAATGGCAACGCAAGGAACGAGTGATCGACAAATTCGAGCTGGTCATGGACTGGGGCTGGCTCACTTTCACAGGTCGGCCCTTTACGTCTAGAGCCGGGCGCATCAGATGGTTCCCATCGGCTCAAGCGGCTGCTTTTCATTTCGCCAATATATCACGTTGTCGAAATAGCATTTTGCTAAAATACGCCTTTCGCCTCGATTATCCGTGTGAAAGAAAATTATTCTTCGTAAAAGAGATGTTCCGACAAAACGTATTTCGACAAACTGATCGCAAATCGGCTCAACTCTATTTCAGAGACGCGGGACGTTGTGCGGGCGCTGGTCGATGGGAGATGTGACGCCCGCGAGGCCGACCACATCCCAATCATCCGACGTGGGCCCTGGGTGCGCTCTTTTCAAGAAACCCCTCGGGAAACCGTTTGTTGTTCGAAAACCACAGGCCCAGCTTTTATTAAACTTTGCCTCTCGGTCAATTTTGATACGGAGAATCCGATGGCGACATCGAAATCGGCTAAAAATTTGATTTGAGTGGTCAAATTTCGATTTGTTAAAAATCGGCAAAATAAACTTTTCCTGGGAAGCTTTCAGGTTTCAAAATCTAGTTCCTTGCGTGTTTTTACTAGCTTGAGACGTGAAGGCATCAATTAAATGTAAAAATTTTATTCAAAAAATCAAAAATATCGATTTTTCGATCAAATTGCCGATTTTTGACCAAGACCTCGACTCTTTAAATAAAAAGCTTTTAGAAAAAACTTTTCTAGCTTCGAGTTTCTAGGTTTTTTTTCAGAGCCGTGACGGCCTAATGATTCAATTTATCGCTCACACTATAACGATTGCCGAGTGTGACTACAATTTCCGCATGTAGGACCAGAATTGCTTTCCGAGTGGGATGGCTTTTAGCAACCGCACCTGGCGGGAGATCGACGCGAACTCTCAGGTCTGGGGGGCCTTCGCCCGTTGGCGCTACCACGACTTCCCCGAACTGATCAAGGAGTCGAAAAGCCCGGAAGAGGTGCGATTCGAGCATTTAAAGGGACGGGAAAGGCTTGGTCGTGTTGAAAGACCATTTTGCATAAAATAACTTTGTCGAAATAACTAACATCGACTTTTCGTTTTGTCGAAATTTGGATGCGCTGAAATTTCAGCTTGCAAAATTTTGTATGAATCATCGAATGGAAAAAATGGAAAAAAAATGGAATGGAATATATTGAAATCGCGACAAAATAAAATGTTCTTTAGGATTTCCGGGCCGGGGAACCAATTTTTTTTCCTGGCGGTCCCAGTTAAGCTAGTAATGAATATACAGTGTTTTTGCATTGTTTTAGTAAAGTTTAACTATATTTAAAGTGGAAAAACTTTTAAAAAATGTTTGGAAAATGTTTGAAAAAGGTGGAAAATTTGGTCATTTTGGGTCTTTTTCCGCACCCCCGCTAATCCTAATGGTTCTATAGGTTTCCTCGATCTAAAATTAAATTTTTTACTTAAATGTGTGTGTTTTTATGCTCAGGAATAGTTGCAAACATTTTAGAACGCATCTGCTATTTATAAAAAAAATTAAGCTTGTGCCGAAGAAATTTGGTCTCCCCCCCCAGAAATCCTAACTACCAAAAAAAATTTCGACAAAATTAACATAGGCCGGCTGTCGGCTTCCACACGTGTCGTACTCCCTGAATTTCTTGCAGCTGCTGGTGTACAAGCGGGACTTTGAAGGCAGGATGAGCGAATGGGTCAACAGGGCGGCCAACAACACGATCCCGAGTCGCGAATTGCTCTTTATCGATCCAGTGGGTGAACACGTGGTACTGGGCTGTTAACGGGGGCCCAAATTTCGAACCTTGAATCTTGTAAAAATTTTGCTGAAAAATATCAAAAATCTCGAATTTTACGTTTTTTTAAAGTTTTCGGAAAAGTTTTTAGTCAGAATATAGCTAAAGTCGCAGTTAATTTTTTAGCTACGAAAGAACAATAAAAATCGACAAAAATTTTGCGAAATTTTTTGACTATGAAAAATCAGCAAAATGTTGTCAAGATTTTTTAAGGGTTTTTTTTAACTGGGCCTGGATAGAAAACAGATTCCCGGCTGAAAATCCACCTACTAGCAGTCCGGCACCAAAACGGTTTTTCTTATCAGATGCACCGTTGCCTCTTGCCCGTGGCCCTCAAGGACCTTGACTTTTTTGTGAGTGTTCTACATACACTATTTTGTGCCACATTTTTCATACGAACAATATGCGTGATTTTAGGGACAATCTTTGGTTCTTGGCCTCCGGGGCGTCATCGAGGACCGCTACGAGAAGATGCAGTATGATAACTGGCGGTGGTGATGCGACGGCGACGAAAAAGACCCCTTCAACCCCCCATATCGCTGCATCATTCGTTCATAGCCCATTCATAGCCTCGCCGTTTTGTACTTTAATTTATATCACACTCGTCCTGGTACTTGATTTTTCGCTGTATTCTGTATGGATCATTGCTCGTGTCTCTTTCGAGTCGAATAAATCCTGGATAGACCTTCGCATGAAATGCTTTGCATGGGGAGGGGGGGATTTTTTGTCAATAGCTTCTCTTATCTTAAATTGCAATACAGGGTGTCCCAATAAAAAAGGTCACGCTGGCATTTTGTCATTTTAAATCCGATCGACCTGAAATTTTGAACAGAGCTGCGGAAGTGAATTTAAAATGTTCACAGAAACTTTCAGCCCGATCGGTACAGTAGTTTTCGAGTTATAGCAAAAATAAACTTTATTTTACGTTTTTAACTTGGACCAGGGTTGAAAAGCCGCTTCGCGACTTTTCAACCCTGGCCCCGTCCAACCCTATGATATCCCTCGCTTTGCATAATCCTTCCGCACTGTTATGTCAAAAAATGAAAAGCGCGTCCTCTCCCCAATTATATAGGCTACTCCCACTTCCGGCGTATGCTAATTTTTTCCTAACAAAGAGAGTGTCCGGTTTTTAAGGAAAAACTTAATTTTAATGTCGAAAACAATCGATTTTGAAAAATCTGATATGCGTGCAGTCATCTACAGGCCATTACGCGTCTAATGACGTATCATACGCCCCCTTCATCCCTTCCCTTCTTGAGATATCCTCCGGACACGCTGACGGAAGTTGCATGCAAAGTGTCATACACACACATACACAGACACTATTTTTTTATATATAGTAGGATTTCGCCGGAATTGAGTCTTGGAATGTATCGCAAAAATGAAGCGCCGACCCTTTTTTACCTCAGAAAATTTTTTATTTCGTAAAATTCGTCTTGGAAATAGGTTTAACAAGGTGTCATCATCCCCGATGTTAAGAAGAATGAGGGATTTAGGGCCAAAATTGATGTTAATTGATGCAAGGTCCAAAAAGATAGCCGAAAAAATGAAGCAAAAGTGTTGAAAAAACAGTATTTTTAGTATAACTCGAAAACTACTGTACCGATCGGGCTGAAAGTTTCTGTGAACATTCTAAATTCACTTCCGCGGCTCTGTTCCAAATTTCATGTCAATCAGATTTGAAATGGCGGAATGCCAGCGTGACCTTTTTTATTGGGACACCCTGTACTTTGAGCTGTATCCGAAACTTTGCCTTTGCTATAACGTTCATGAACTATAATGTTTTGTCTAAGATTAAAAATCCTTTTTATTTTTTCATGTTCTACCGGGTGGCAAGGATATAGTGCCCAAAAACAGTAAAATATTGAAAAATCTACCACAATACCCCCCCTGCCGCTAACGAAGGAGAGCCCTAGCTAGTTTTTGTTTGATTTATGGTCAGGGTTTGAACTTTCATATTCAAAGCTGCTTCTCGCCTGTAATCAGCACCTTTCTAGTCCTTCACACGCTGCCCCCGGAACTCTTCAACTTCATCATCCAGCCGTTGGATGCCGAGACCGTCATGAACATTGCTGGCATCGACCCCGAACTGGAGTTGCGGGTCGAACAAGCGCCGAAAAACTGGATGCTTGTCGACTCTATTTTGGATGGACACGTCATCGACTATCAATTCATCCCTCATCGCTTCGCGCTGGCGATGTTGAATAATTCGCGGCTAGATCAGCGAAACCATGGCTACTGGGAGAAGCTGCCGAATTGCCGCCGCCTTCAGGACTTGCCCCTCGAGCTCCTGCGCATCATCGCCGACGATCTCGAAGACGGTGATTACTTGGAAGCCGTGAGGGTGTTGCCCCGCTTCATCCACTCTGGCCACGTGCTCGACGATGAATATGGGTCAGTTAGTATGAAAAAAAATGAAGGGTTTTGTTTGTTAGCGGGCGTAAAAAGTTTTGGGCGCTAATGCACTTGGGGGGGGGGGCAGAGCCGATTTTGGGCGTAGCACGCTCCAAAGGCCGTTTTTTAAACTCTAAGCCTCTGGCAAAAATAAAAAAAAGAAATGGTTCTGTTCTATTTCGCGCGGGGGAAAAAACTGTGCGGGGGGGATATGCTTCGCGGAACCTTCCATCTTTTCGCTATTTTCTCGGGATTTTTGCAACGCCATTCGATAGAGCATCAAAAAATATACTAAGAGTTTTTGTTTTAGCTAAAAAAATTGTAATATAAAAAAGTTATAGCAAAAACAAAAAAAACTATTGGAACTGGGCCCGGAATGTTAGTTTTCGGCATTTTCGCCAGTTTTTCGATATTTTGAACCCGTCATTCGATAGAGCATCAAAAAATATACTCAGAGTTTAAATTTCATCTAAAAATATTGTTTTATAAAATAGTTATAGCAAAAACAAGGTTTATTCGGTGTTTCCACATGGGATCGTGGAGTCGAAAGCTAGTTTTCGACATTTTCGATAACTTTCAAAAATTTCTTTAATGCCATTCGATAGAGCGTGAAAAAATATACTAAGAGTTTTAATTACAATTCAAAATAGCATCATATAAAAGAGTTATAAAAAACGAAGAAAATTTCCCCCCCGCACAGTTTTTTCCCCCACGCGAAATAGAACAGAACCACAGAAATTTTTTAGTGTTTATTTTGAGCCGAATTTTTCTCTGACCAAAACCGCTCCTTCTGAATCTGCGAAACTACCAAAAAAAAAAGTGGTGACGTTTTCAGGGCAAAAACGGCCAAAGAGGCCATTCTGGAAATTTTTCACATTTTAAAGCCTCGTAACTTTTCAAAAATGATCGCGTCGAAGGTACTGACAACAAAGTTTTGATCAGCAAAAAGTTCCGCACAAGCTAGACTCGGTCCCACGCCGAAAGTCCGCGGACGCGGATATGCATAAATCTTGTTTTTGTGCACTTGCATCCGGCAATTTTGCTTAGAGGAAATGAGGAAAATAGCTCGTATGCCGCCCCCGAAAACTGCAAAATTTTACAAAGTGGCTTGTGAATAGCGCATTTAAATAAAAACATGGTTTTGAAGACTGGCGCAAACCCGCCGTTTCAAAGGCTTTCGAATGGTGCAACTATCATTCCAATCCGATACTTTTGCTTCGAGTTAGAGGGAGGAGTGTTTTTTTGTGGCAGAGTATGTTTTGCAAAAACATCATTTACAGGTTTCAGACCGCTGAAGCTCTGCAGTGGCTGCTCCCCTTCAACGTCTCGGAGCTGTGCATCTACTGGTGTGGCCCGGTGACGGATCTCCAGCCAATTTGGAAGTTCGTCGAGTACTCACTCCCGGTGACGCCGACGCACGACCAACGAATTCACGTACGAGCTCCAGACAATTTGCTATCATAATGTCGAGGTTTTTTGCATAGCATTTGGGAATTCTTGGTTTTCCGGGAAAACTAGCTTATGTAGATTTCGCTTTCGCTTATGTAGCTTCGAGTGTCTAGGTTTTTTTTTCAGAGCCGTGACGGCCTGATGATTGAATTTATCGCTCACACTATAACGATTGCCGAGTGTGACTACAATTTCCGCATGTAGGACCAGAATTGCTTTCCGAGTGGGATGGCTTTTAGCAACCGCACCTGGCGGGAGATCGACGCGAATGCTCAGGTCTGGGGGACCTTCGCCCGCTGGCGCTACCACGACTTCCCCGAAGTGATCAAGGAGTCGAAAAGCCCGGAAGAGGTGCGATTCGAGCATTTAAAGGGACGGGAAAGGCTTGGTCGTGTTGAAAGATCATTTTGCATAAAATCACTTTGTCGAAATAACCAACATCGACTTTTCGTTTTGTCGACATTTGGATGCGCTGAAATTTCAGCTTGCAAAATTTCAGCTGACTTCAGCTTGATTTTGATATGAATCATCGAATGGAAAAAGGTATTGAAATCTCGACAAAAGAAAATGTTCTTTAGGATTTCCGGGCCGGGGAACCAATTTTTTTTTCCTGGCGGTCCCAGTTAACCTAGTAATGAATATTATGATTCTCTACGGCCCTATAACCAAAAACCAAAAAGTGTTGCTTTTTTGTTTAGCTCAAAACTCTGGGGAGGAGCTCCGGCTTAATTTTGTGATATTAGCGACAGCTCAACGAGCTCTACAGAATCTGTCGTAAAGGCTACCGTTAAAAAATTACACAACAGGCATGCTACTTGTCAAAATTTGGACCTCGTCTGGAGAAGAGGTAATGCTTTATTTTTTAACTTTGATTTAGCTTCCCGACTTCCAACACATTCATGATCGCTAGGGGCTGAAAACCCCGCCTTTCAATAAATTGGGAAAAGTCCGCGTCCTGAAACTGACCAAATTTAGACAATTTACGTATCTGCTTTGTAATTTTTTTCACGGCAATTTTTACGATACGTTCTGTCGAGATTAACGAGCTGAACAAATCGCAAATATCATAACGCCATTAGGCAGCGTGTCTGCAGAGTTTTCAGCTAAACAAAAAAAGCAACACTTTTTGGTTTTCAATTGCACGCCTTATAAAAATTTATATAAATCTTCATCGACCAAATCAAAACCTTGAACCCTCTCACCCTTCCCCCCTGCTAACACTCTAGAACCCGAAAAACTATCTCCTCCCGCGTCCGCAAGTCTAGAGAGGCGGCACGGGGTTCAGCTTCGTTTGCAACCGACCTTTTCCCCCTGCGCGTCGCATCGCTTCCGCCCGCACGAGTTGCCCCTCACGTTTCGCCAGCACCCGACGCACCTATAAAAAGATTTCCCTCAAAATTTAATGTGGTACTGTGTCCTCTTCCTGGGCATCCGCCTGGTTGAGCGGCGTGATCAGATCGAACGTAAGGCACATCTAAACAATGGCTACCCTTCAGTCGGTTTTTGTGTACTCGGTAGGGGGGGGGACCAACTTTTTTTTTGTCGGGCCTGGTAGAGATAGTAATCAAATATAAAGTGTTTTCACATTGTTTTTAGCAAAATTTAAGCCTATTTGAATCGGAAAAACTTTGAAAAAGTCGAAAATTTGGTCATTTTGGTCATTTTGGGCCGAAAAAAATTGATTTTCGACCTAAAATTAAATTTTTTAATTAAATTTTGTAATTATGTAGGCTAGGTTCGATCCTATTTCGAGCGGGGGGAAAAACTGTGCATGGCATTTCAACATTTCAGCCACACGCCTTATTATTATGCCGAGCCTGTTAACAGGTTCGTGAAGGTATTTTTCTTAACCGTTCTGCTACCAAATTACAAAAATTATTTTTAAATATGAAAATGAAGCTTTAGATTCTGTTCTTGATCAGTTTGGGGTTTGTGACCGCGCTCGCTCCGAATCCGAAGAGATCTAAGCTCTAGCTCTTTCCATCTTCGTGTTAAATTCGGCTTCAGGCAGATCTACACCACAGCAAAATAGTGTGATGATTTTTATAGTTGATTGCATTTGGGCTGAATTCAATTACACGGTCACCTATTCAAATCCGACTTTTTATACATAGAAATGTTCAGCTCGACGAGCTGGTTCAGGATCATTTGAAAAAACAATTGGGAAACACTTCTGGGCCGAGCCGATTTCGAATGAGTGGAGCGGCAGCCCATCCAAAGCGACGGCCCACCTTGTCTGACAAAGTCAAAAGCCTCACCGGTCCCTCTCTCCTACAATATTATTTTTTAAAACACTTAAAAATCAAAACCAATTGTTCTTGAAGAGTACGTACGAATACGTACGCATAAGGGTACGCCGCTCCGTACACAAGAGTGTCGCGTAGCTCGAGTTTCCGAAAAAAAACAGGAGCTTTTTAACTCTCTGGATGCAATTTTCCCAAGGATTCTTTGAACAGATATCGGCTCTGCTCGACGAGCTGCACATTTCTAAATAGATTTGAAATATGCCTGTTTGGATAGGGGACCGTATACCTAACTAGCCAAATTTGGACCCCTATATCTCGCTCCAGAACTGTTTCCCAATCGTTTTCTGAACGCATCCTGAAGGAGCTCGTGTGAACGCTATCCAAAAATTCTGAATTCAGTCACTAAGGAGGACTTACACGGCGTTCCGGCGATCCCGAGCGGCGACGAGCCGCGCGCAGTCCCGGCGGAGCGTCCCGGTCGAAGTCCTGTAAATGGATTGGGTTCAGCTTTTCCCTCAGGAATTTTGTACGGCTTTATAACAAAATAAAAACCAGTTACATAAATATAACTTAAACTATGTAACGAACAAGCCATTTTTCCAAAAAAACTGATAAGAAACTTTCCGATAACGGTCATCTCCCGGGGTACCACGCATCTAATGAGCTATCAAACACACCTTCAAACTACTTCCCAATCGAGATATCCTCTGGGCACACAAACACTATTTTTTACACATAGATAATTTTTATCTTCGTTATATTTCTTTAAGAATGTTGAAAAGCTCCAAAAACTCTCAATTTCAATTTTTCAAATAATTTTTAGAAATTTTTTGTAACTTTCTAGCAATTAAAAACCGCTAAAAACATATGAAAAATACTCTATGTTCTTCACCCCCCCGTTAAAAGTTAAGCACCCACACATGATCTACGCTGGATTTTGGTGATCTTAATCGTAAATCTGCGCTAGAACGTGCATTACCGGAAGATCATTGCGGCGATTCAGCGGCGGACGGCCGAGATTTTGCGGTGCGGCAGCAGTGCGGGGCCGCTATAAATAATAAAATTCTTGGGAACAAAAGGCGGCCGAAGGTTCCGCCAGCTGACTTAAACGGCGACTTTTTACTCACAATCGAGTTTCCGTACGGGACGAAGATCTTACGCGCAACTTCTGCGCTGACCCCGAGCGTGTTTTCAAAATCTGCGAAGCGATAGGATTGAAAACGTTATGGAGGTTTTAACAGCGAGAAAGGTTCAAGATGGCCCAATTTTCGGAAATTTTTGCCTTTTCCGGCCTACAAGGCACCATATGCTTTTGATCTAAACGTTTGGCAAATTTTGAAACCAGGCTCGGGATCAGCGGGAAATTCTGCACAAGATAGACTTTGTCCGGAACAGAAATACGATTGTCACTAAAAAAGCCTCCTTGTCAGTTGCAAATATGTAAAAGTTTTCTACCAGCTGCATCTGGTGGACGATGCGCGGCTGAGCGGCAGGCTGAGCGGCGGGCAGGGCGGCGGGCACGGGCAAGCATCTGGCCTGACGGCGGGCGGAACGGCGTGCGCGGGCCGAACGGCGTTCACTTGCGCAGCAGGCGGCTGAGCGGCGGGCGGGTTCACCTAAAAAAATTACTTGTAAAGAGCCTTTGTCCCTTTTTGAGGGACGAGCAAAGGACCCGGGAGCGACGCTGGAGCTCCAGCGAGCACATTAACTTTTCTCTGGCATGTTCTCTCCAACGCATTGCCCACCATTTTTTTTGTACGTCAAATTCCTGTATAGCAAAAGGGAGCCGGGATACAAAAGTTCGCATTGGTGAGGGAAGGGGAAGGTAATCTGACCTATTTGTCATTTTAACAGCTCTTTTATACTAGAATTTGTGGTTTTCATATTCATTAATGACAAGAAAACATTCGTTCGAAGATTTGTGCCGAAAAGACTTGGTCCCCCCCAGCGAATACTCAAATAGCCAGCAATGATACGTTTTTGCAGTGCGTTTGTGAGAGTTGATATTTGCAGGTGCGACATGCCAGGGCCCATGTTGATGGATGGTTAAGCATGACGGTACCTCAACAATGGCCTCCTCCTCGCGGTCTTGCGGAAGAGGCGATGGCGTCCAGGCCGTAGATGGAGATGACAGCTGCAACAGATAGTTTGTAGCCAACCCAATCTTAAGACTATGCCTAAGCCCCTACGCCTAAGCCCAAGTGGTAAGCGAAAGCCTAGCATAAGTCCTAATCCTAAGCCTAAATCCTAAGCCTAAGCCCCAGCCTAGCCGAAGCCTAAACCTAAGTCTAATCCCAAGCCTAAGCCTTAGCCCCGCCTCAGCATAAGCCTAGCCGAGTGCCAAGCCTAAGCCCCAAGCTTATGCCTAAAGCCTAAGCTTAGCATAATCCTAAGCTTAAGCCTGAGCCTGCCGCTGCCCAATGCTAATCCAATAAGGTCAGAAGAGCTAAGGCCAGAACAAAAGGTACCTGGAAAGGGGATGCTGGGGTGTCGTTTTCATTCGTAAGCCACGCGTTTGTCTCCAAGGCGCAAGTGAGGTCCGCGTTTGCACTGGCGAGCTGAAAAATATGCCTTGGATAAGAGGTTCCTGAGCATTTGTGGGGGAGACCGACGTATTTTTCCTATGGGTGTAGGTTGGCCCATTAATGAAAATATGCTTTCACGATTTTTAGTAGATTTGAACTATATTAGAAGCAAAAGCTTGCAAAAAAGTTAGCCAAATACTTGAGAAATTCGAAATTTTGATCATTTCGGGTCAAAAAATTCAATTTTTCGGCCTAAAATTAACTTTTTGATTAAAATCGAGATAGTTTTGAAGCCGATAATAGTTAAATACGCCTGCGCTATTTGTAAAACTTTTATATCTAGGCGTGCGCGGAATACTCAGGCCCATTTTACCTCTCTTTCGAGGGCCTGTAGATGAGCGGGGCCCAGACTGTTCGTCCTCACCATCTCCTGTAGCTGAACAGAAACATCAATACGACTCTCACAGATTTTCTCACCGAAGAAAATACTTTTCCGCCGGCTTTTTCGACGCGCTCCAAATGGTCCTTGAGCTTGAGGCGCGACACATCGATGTGTAGCAACAGCGCGGCCTCTGTCTGTAAAAGGTTTGTACGAATTGGGTACGAAGCCTCAAAAAACTGGGGAGTCTGCTTCGGTGAGGGCTCAAATTGCAAAAGCTACCGACCGACCTGCTTCCTTTGAGCTTCCGTCTCCCCACGCATTCGGCCCGCTTGACGTTTACCCTCGCGCATCGCCTCCTTACAGGTCTGAAGCATAGACATAAACATAAGAATGGGAAGCCACGGTTAGCTAGGCCGGTTTCGGTTCTGGACTGTTAACGTGGGGGAAAAAATATGGAATCGAATTTTTGGCCAAAACGGGTTCTTTAGGATTCGCGGGGGGGGGGAAAGACCCAAAATGACCAAATTTTCGACTTTTTCAAACATTTTTCAAAATTTTTCTGAAAGATATGCTGCTTTAAATATAGTTAAAACTTACTAAAAACAATTCGAAAACACAAATAGTTGATTACTAGGTCAACCGGGACCACCAGGAAAAAAATTGGTCCCCCCGCGGGAATCCTAAAGAACCCCAAAAAGTATGGAAAATGCCATAAAAGATCAAAAATTTCCGAATTTGAAAAATTTAGAAACCT